TACCGCCGCCCCACCCATTCCTTGATTATGTCGTGAAGGTTTATATGCTGGATAGAAGGAATATCCGAAAATTTTGACAACTTCACCTCGATTGAGCCTAATTTCACTTAAAAGTATAATATCAATGTTGTTGTTGTGCGCAAAGAATTCCACTTCTCTGGCTTTACCTGAAATGCCATTGACATTCCAGATAAGGATTTTGAGTGTATTCATTTTGAGGCTGAAACGTTGTTGTGAAGCACTGATTTGCCCCCAGTCCACTGCTTAATAGAATTGGCCATTTCGAAAACCATATTTTCAAGTCTTTCAAGTCGAAGGCTGTTCTGTTTGTTTTGCTTTTGTTGTTCCTGCTGCTGTTGTTGTAACCACAAAAAGAATTGCTGCTGCTGCTGTTGCTGAAGTTGTTGTTGCCATTTCATAAATTGCTGTTGCTGTTGCTCCAATATAGACTGAACGTCAAGCACATATTGTTGTTGTTGAGTATTCTTCGAATTTTGTACTTGCGGCTGCGCTTGGAGATCATGTAGACGGCGCTGGGCATGACCAATTCCATTTCTTACAATAGAGGCATAAGATAAGCCTATATTATTGCTGGCAGAAGAGTTAGGCATTTGCTGAGATTGCTGCTCTCGGATTGGCTGTTGTTGCTGACGTTTTTGTTGTGGATGTTGTCGCGTTGATTGTTTTTTTGAACTCATCGATCGCCTAAGGTATTCTTGATAAGATTGGCAACCCTTGTAGCTTGCTGTATGATTCCCTCTACAGTGCATACATGTAGGCGGTTGATCTTGGGGACGAACACATTGCTTTGTATGGTGATCTTCTCCACAGCGAGCACAATTAGGATGCCGGCGGCAGTACTTCGCTGTATGTCCAAATTCTTGGCAACGAATACATTGAGCTATTTCAGATCTTTTACGCATCCTTTCTATTCGCACTCGTTGGCGGCAAAGAGTTACTATATCATATATGGCATTAATTTTAGCACATGGCTTAATATTGATAAAAAATATGTTGAGTTTCTCATCTGGGTCAGACCTAGATCTTGGGTTATGCACCTGAAGAGCTTCAAAACCTAAGGTTTTAAAATTGGCAACAATTTCGCTAGTTAATGTGCTATGATGAAGCCCTTTAACTACTATTCTGTGTGGTTTATCTTCCTTCATTTGGTACGTATGGAATTCAATTTCCATTTCATCAAAATGATCAACAATGTCTCTATAAGTTTTAGAGTCCTTGGAAAATATTCTTGCTGTAGATCCCTGATTTACTTTAACGATAACGTTATCTAGACTAGTGATCCCCGAAATAACATCAAATAGATCGTTAAGGTTGACAAAACTTAGAACAATTTGTGGTGGTTTTAAATTATTGTTGGGATTATTCTTGCCATTAGAATTATTTTGTTCAAATTCATTATCTGAGACAATTGTTTCCATATCATCATTTAAATCTGTTTGGGCATCTGCCAAGGAAAGATTACTTCTTTCCTCAACAGGTCTGTCACTGTCTAGGTCCACCTCCATGTCTAGTAAGGCAAACCTATTACTAGAGCTTGCCTTGCTGGTTGATGCTGAGGGTGATCCAGATAACTTTTCTTTGTGCACCTTCTTAGGGTAAGGAGTATATGAAAGTTGCTTCTTCCTCTTGTACGACAGATGGCTTTGGCTTAGCTTCAACTTGGTAGCAGCATCAGAAAACGGAGTTGAAGAAATTTTTGAATTATCACCAAGAGTTGGAGAGACAATTGCAGCCCCACCTCTGGGTAATGGGGATGAATTACCAGATGAGCGTTGGGAGTAATAAACATTAGTTTTATCCATACTCGCGGAAGAGCAAACACTGCTGATTTCCGCATCTGATGCTGTAGCCAGCATTGAGGTTATAGTACTAGTGCTCGCAGATTTTGAGCACAGTGGGCGTTGTAAACTGATGATCTCTTCCCTTATCTCCGAAGGTGTTTTACCAGCTATTTGGAACATTTTTTTATAATCAAACTGCTTACCGCTAGGTTGAGAGTTAGAATGAAGATTTCCATCCATTACCCCTCTTGCGCGGCAGCGCGCGGAGTGAATGGTGACCGTCTACAGATGAGTATTTGTAGTTGTACGTCTGCACTAGACAAAGTCCAATTAGCACACGAAGAGTGCGCAAAAGAAGAATTTGAGATCCTCTTGCTTTGCTTTTGGTTTTTCTGTCCACGGCACCACCGAATCTCATCAAGAGCCTTCTTGCAGTTTTGTAAAATAAAATATTTTTAAATTCCAGTTAAGTAGCTATTTTGACGTGTGTCGGCAGCGCTGCTTGATTCGGAATAGGAATGGCAATGCACATATTTTACTAACACTTGCAAAGTGAAATATTGTATTGCCTACTTTTAGGAAGCAATGTAAACACAGTTGCTCTTGTGTGGGCAATACTATTATTAATGTCTTATATTAGTCTTAATGAGGTTTTATTGCCTTTAATTAGTAGGCCAATTAATTACCATTCAAGACCGTTTTCTCTGTGTATAGAAATGCACGAAATCTAAAGAGTAACAAAGTGCAGAACGGCCATAAAAACCGTAACAATATGTCCTGCCACAGCAGCAACATCGGAAGCACAGCGGCAACATCTACAGCAACAGCAACACCAATATCGCAGTCACAGCAGCAACATCTAACGAAGCAACAGCAACAGCAGCAACAACAGCGCCAGGAGCAACATAAACATTGAGGCGCGCGTGCTGCGACGGTTGCCGCAATATTAATTTCACGAATGAACAACCCTTGAATAAGCATGCACTTGATGTACCGTTATTATGGTCCAGCTACGTGAGAGCACTCGTGTTCTCTCTCGCCTCCGAGAGAGGCAGATAGAGAGAGTGCCGAACTCCGCCGAGAGAGCCACAAACTTTCTCTGAAAGCTTTGGTCCTTTCGTTTAACTTCGTTTAATCAGCCGAAGTGCGGCCGCTTGTGTGTGTGTGAGTGCGTGTGAGGCTCTGTTTTTGCCTGTATGTGTGTGCGTTTGAGGCCAGTTGCTTTTTCATTGTGCATTTCCCAGAGGTGCATTTTTCTGAAAATCTAATTTGAGAGATTGAGATTGTTTGGTCTTTCAATGTTCAGCTCGCTCGTTCGTGTTGCGACGCTTGCAATTTCTGGCCAGCCATCCAGCCAGCCAGCCAGTCCCTATATAGAATATATACACACTCTTAGATATAAATGTGTGTCAGGGTGTGCTTGTGGCCATATATTTATGCAGCAGCAGCAGCATATCGGGGAGTTATGGTCTCCTCTGCGAAACACTCCAAGTCACAGTCACACGCTCACTTTAATTGGTACAGCGCGCCGCAACGCTGTGGCAATTGCTGTTGAAAAATCTACATGGGAGATTTGGCAGCAGCAACAGTAATGCCACCAGCAACATCAGTAGTGGCAAAAGCAGCAGCGGCGGCAGTAGCAGCAACATCTGCAGCAGCAGCAACAACAGAACAGAAGCAGCAGTGGAATCCACACAGCAGCGACTTCAATCATTGCGCGCCACGCTCGCTGCGGTTTGACAAACATTTTTCACAGAATGTGCGAAGGCAACCGCCAAATGCCCCAGTGCCCAACTCCTTGTTTAATGGCACACCGCCACAAAAGAAAGTAAACCTACCAGACTGCATATAATATTTAATTTAGAAGGTTAGGAAGGAATTTAAAAGTTCAAAATGATCTTGGTATTTATGGTAATTCATTTAAATTTTTGAATTACTTGTCACAGTTTCTAAAAGTAGGTTATTTTTTGTGATTTTAACAGAAGACTTCATACCAACTAGGAGTTTGATACAAATTTTGTAACAATATTGGGGGATCCCCTAGATACTTTTTAAATCGAATAAAAAATTTTTAATCTATAGACATACAAAAAGGAATTGACCGCATTGACAAGAACCATCAAAGCGTGAAAAATGTTAGTTGATCTTTCAATAAAACTCGCTCAGTGCATGTCAGCGGAGTTCCAACTCCTTCGGCCTCGCCCGTCCCTTACTTATTCGTGTATGTTTGATGAGTATGCGAGAGTTTTATGGCTGTATTGGGAATGAGCTGTGAGCAGGAGCAGCCATCGGGCGGAGGGAGGGGGAGTGGGGGAATGGGAGAAGAGGGAGCGGAGAAGAGGTCCTGAAATGAGGCGCAGGAGGACCAGGGGCGGGGGAATACGGCTTTGGCTTCAGTTTGGCGCCTCTTCACGGCAACCGGGGAGGCTGATTGGGTTATGCTGTGATTTTAATTTTGAAATCATACGAATGCGAGTGCTGCAATGCAAAGCGATACGATACATGTGCGGATTTATTTATGCACGTATACATGCACACGAAAAAAATGGGGGAAAATGTGTTTGTGTGCGAGCGTAAAGCGATAAAGCGCCTTACAGGATTTTGCATCGGACTGCTGCTGTTCGCAATTTGATAAGCTACCTTTGGGCATTATTTTTACGACTTTTTTCCTGCTCTCGCAAACACGCCAGGAAATATGCAATAAAATATTCCGATTTTAAGCTGGTGTGTAAATCAAACGAATCTTATTGTTTTCAATTTGTGCTCATTCCATTTCCCCGGGCCCTTCCCCCCGCCACCGTCCTTCGGTTTTTTGCCAACAAGATTTAGTCTCGGCTTAGTCGTTCAGTCAATTGAGAAGCTCTCCAACACTTGATGCCATAGAAATCGCAGACAGAGGAGTCATAAGAATGTATCAATTCAGGGGGGAGTGGAGGCGAACGTGGCTGTTGAACGAAACCTGCCTGCAAACCGAAAAATACATATATTTAAAGTCGGCAAACATTTATTAAGCATACGCACTGGTGAGCAATTTCAGTACTCATTTAAAACGAGCTTTTCAATTCAATGCTCGCAGTGCTGAAATTAAATTCTTTTCAGTTACAATTAAACACGTACTTTTCCCACAGCTTTAAGAAAGCTAAGGGTATTTATTTTTTCCCAGACTTAAAGACTGCGACAAATTGAAACTATTAATTATTTCCCAAACAAAATGTGAAGCAGTTTTATTGTACTCGTAATCGATCATCTACATCCACATTACGCCTTCAACTTTAGCAGATTTACATTAACAGACATACGAACTAAGCTATACAAGATTCGGATAAAGCGTTTCAAGCATATGACTATGGGCATATGGGTATTGTACAAACATACAAACGATATATACGATACATACAACTATATCTAAGAACTAACGCGGAAACGGAAGTGTTAGAGTTTTCGCCGAAAGATTGAGGAGTAGAAGATGTGCCCTAAATGAATACGAAAGACAGAATAATTGGGTCCTATAAGAAGAGCTTGACGAGGGCATAAAGCGCCCAGCCGGCTAACGCGTAGAAAACAGCCAGTGTCGTATAATGCAGCACCTTCAATCTGAAAAGATAAATTATTTATTAATATTCGTTAGGAAGGTAGGAAGGGATGCTAAATACCTTTCGTAGCGCTTGATGGACTCTGGAATGTTGCTGGGATCATCCTTGACCACATACAACCGCAGTCCGTAGAGACTGACCCTAAACAGATTTGTCCAGTCAAGATCGCGCATATCGAAGGCGAAAAGCCTTTTGTCCCGATCGTCCAGCTTTTCTGTGAGTTTCCTTACATTGTCATTGTCAAAGCGGAATTCGTTCGAACTGAAGTACTTGAGGACGTTGCTGAGCTTGTGGATCTTGCGGTAGATCTTCATCATTCTGTGGGAACACCAAGGAGTTTACAAGGGTTTCCTTAAACCAAATCTTATGCAGACCCACCTGGGCTTCTTGCCAATTATCACCATGATGGCGTCCATGACCAGAGCGGGCAATGTGTGGTACAGGAAGCACAGGATGTGGTACTGCCACATGTGCGGCACGATGGTGAATCGCGGATACCAGATGGACTTCCGCATCGGTATGTCACAGCCGTACTCGAAGCCATCCTCCATGTAGCGCCTCCAGGTGACCATGTTCTCCTTATCCGGAACATAGTTGTAGATCGGAGGCGTTTCATATCTGCATGGAAATAGTTTCAGTAATTTTTAAAGATAGAATCGAGTAGTATAGCTTACTTATTCCGGGCTATGTCCCATGCACTGGCCAGAAGTGCATTCACGCACATATCCACCGGAACGATGTGTGCCATATTGTCCATGTCGCCGGTGAAGACTCGAAGAACTCCGGATCCGATTCCCACAATTACGCCACAAGGACCGTACATGTTGTCAATCCAGCCAGTCACCGGTTCGCGGTATGTGGTAATCACTGTGAATGTATTCGTTAAACTTAGTTTACTACTCTTCCAGTTTATTTTAATTACTGTCACATGGCCAAAACATTTCCTACAGCAAAAAAGCGAACCGTTTTAGACAACTGGGAACCTCTTCTATCGATCCATGTCACCCACTTGAGGACCCAACAAAATTTAATTTTTTTCAATTTTTTGCATTTTTTGTCACTATTTTTCTTGCTAGAGTTAAAAAACTGATATTTTCAGGTGAAAAATCTCACCTACGGTTGAAAGGTAGACTGTTTTACTGGGAACCTCATCCAAAGTATATATACCACTTTTTAGACGATTTAAATTTTTGATTGAGTTTTACATTTTTTAGCGGATACCCCTACATTTTTTTGCAGTGCAGATCGACTGGAAATTTTACTGCAAATGTCATCATTCCATATTCTAACCATTATTTCCCAACCTCTTCAAAAAAACTATACTTCTTGAGGGCTTTTTGCGTAATTGAACAGTAATATAATGTTTACCAATGCCCGGTCTGAAGATGGTGACTGGCAGGTTCTGGGCGCTCTGCTGCACAACGTTCTCGGCCAGGACTTTGGTGAAGGTGTACGTGTTTGGATAGCCCTTGATGATGGTTGGGGTCAGAGTGTTCAGGGTGTGCTCGTCGAGGCACTCGCTCAGCTTGAAGGCGTTCTCGCCGGACATCGTGCCGCTGTAGAACTTCTCCTGGATGTGGCGCATGTTGCAGTGCGCAAATGCTGTGGAGACGTGGACCAGGGCCTGGAAAGGATTGAGGACAAGTAAATTAATCAAAAAAATACCTGAAAACGAATCAAAGTAAATTGAACTCCGAACGCACCTTCAGGTTGACAATCTCTTTGGCCAGCTTGATGATTTCCTTGGTGCCGTGCACGTTGATGGCGATGGCCATTTTGAGCTTCTCGTCGAAGCGAACTGTGGCTGCGCTGTGCAGGACGATGTTGACGTTCTCCAGGATGGTCTCGCGCTCGTCGGCGGAGATTCCCAGTCCAGGAAGCGAGCAGTCCCCGCTGATGATGCTGATCTGGCAGCGGTACTTGGGGTTAACCTGCTTCATCTTGGCGAAGACCTGCGAGAAGATAAACAAATCAATTGAGAAGTTCCATAATTAGGGGACTTAGGGCACTTACCGGGTCATTAAACAGATCCTCGATGCGGGCGAACGCATCCTTGCCCTTCTTGGTGCGTATCAGCAAATAGATTTGTCCCACCTCCGTGACGCGCAACAATTTCTCGATGATAACTGGGAACACGAGACACGAGAGACGAGAAGTGATGGCGAGGGAAGGTAAATAAGTGGCCGGGATTCGAGTCACGTACTGGGAGTCGAGTGGAACTTACTTTTGCCGAAGAATCCTGTGCCGCCAGTGAGGAAGACGCCCTTGTCCTTATAGAACATTTGCATGGGCGACTCGTCTGGGGAAGAGATCAATGCAAACAGTCATTAAACAATTAGCCAATTTGATGCGCATCATTGGTGGTGGGCTCAGCAGAACCACCCACCACCCACCTAGCAGCCCCCATCCATTCCACTTGTTTGCTCAGTTCGCTTCGGTTTGGTTTGTTTGCCACCAACTTGAAGCCCCGTCACGAATTTAAATGCGCATCAAATGCCACTTGAATTGCGCATAATTCACGCCACACACAGCCGGATAGACAGAGGGACTGCGGGACTGCGGGACTGTGGGACGGACGCACAGCCGGAGCCACAGACACTCGGCATAGTTGGGAGGGCACGAGGTTGCCTCCTGGCTGCATTTTTGCCAAAGTGCCAAAACGGCAACAACACTTGACGTTTCAACGCCGCCTGCCAATGGGCTTTGCCCCCGGAATAACGCCACCCCTTCACCCCCGCACCGCCTACTCCAGCCTCGCCCACTGCCACCCCTTCGGAGGCCATCCATCTCTGCCCACATTGTTGTTTGCGGCATCGGTTGCCGTTGCCTGCCACTTGCTGGGCCACTCATAAATATTTGCAAGTTAGCAGCTCGTCGAGCCATTCATCTATTGTCTAAAACGCACACACGCCCAAAATACCCGCACACGCACAGTTGCATATGTTACACGTGTATTGCTTGCTCAACTGAGAGAAAAGTGGTGGTAGGAAGTTTTAAACTGTCAGAATTTGTGAGAATTTAAAAACTGGAATAGTATTCTACAGGTTATTGTTTGCAGATAGCTATTGATAAAATCTAAAGTTTGAAAAGGGAAATAAATTTAAAGAAAATATTTGAAATAGCTATTAAGATCTAAATTATACATTTCCCTACTTTCATTCTTCTTGTGCCAATTTAAGTTGCATTCTCCCAGTGCCCCACTGTCCACATTCCTCAATTGAATGGCATTTCATCTTGAGATGGCTCGCCTCGCCTTAGCCTTCTTCAACTCGAGCTGCCTAATTGCCAATCGTGGCGTAAATCACTGTCAGTCGGAGAACAGGGCCCCCCTGGTTTTTTTTCTTTTACTGCTGCCTAATTGCCAATCGTCGGCGTAAATCACTGTCAGTCGGAGAACAGGGACACACACACACACACACACACACACATACACACAAATACAGTGACACAGAGGCGACACCCATGCACAATTGCCACTTGATAATTGCATAATAAATGCAACATTGCCGAGGAGGATGTGCCGCCGGCCCTTCATCCGCTGCCGGCTGAAGCATAACAAACACATTCATTCAAACACAACTTGACACCTAGAGCCGACACCGTCTACAGCTCCTGTCCGAAGGCAGCTCCCCACCACCACCGGCTAACCAGCATCGGAGGCACCACCCAACCCCACCTCCTTGGAGCGAATTCCTGGCCCGAGGCCGCACTCAACCACAAGCACTTGGCTGGCTCACTCAAATGTTTTGTTTACCTATGCTAATTGGCTTAAATGCAACTCGAGCGCACTTCTCGCCGCCTCGCGCCCGCCCGAAAACCTTAAGCTGAAAGCGTGTGGATCCCCCTCCCCAACCCCCACCTGCGAAAACCCCTTGGAAAGACAGCTCTCAACCGCCCAACCACCTAACAGCCCAACCACCCAACCACCCGACCGCCAACCACCCGGGCCATCATTGTTCCGTGGACGCAGCGAAATTGAGCCTCACTTGGAGTGACTCGAGTGGGAGTTGGAGTGCGGCGTTTAAAGCTTTTCGAGCGCTTTGGGGCATTTGTTCAACGCTAACTCCAACACCAACAGAGGCATCCCGCCCCGCCCCCGCCCCTCCAGATCCACCAAAAAAGCGCGGCAGAAGCACCAGGAACACCACCAGCAGCGTCACCAGAAACAACAGCGGGGGCTCCCACTCCGAGTGAATTGTCAACAATTGTTGTTAGCTCTTCGGATTCTGTGGGCGGCAGACAAAAGTCTGTCACATAATTTGTCAATTTCAACAAATTTTTGTTTTAGCTTCCCCCCTCTGCCCCCTCTGACACCCCTCCCACTCCCCCTCCCCTCAGATGCTCCCTCGGGCAGAAAAGCCCGCTAATGTAATATTTCACATAAATGCCTTTTATTTTTCCTGGTTTGTGGCGGGCTTTTGCGTGGTGCGGTACTTGATCTCGGCTCGGATTTTTGTTTGCATTTCGACTGGTTACCGGTTACTGGTTTTGGTTTTCTGGTCACTGGTCTCTGGTCTCTGGTTACTCACCCTTCACGTCGTTTATGAGCTGACAATGATCTTCCAGCGTCTTCATGCCGTTCATGATGTTCATTATTTTGGGATCATCCATCTTGGCCAGGTGAGGTTCCTAATTATCTGTAGGAAGAGAAAAAACACAAAGCATTTTTGTAAATAAATCAGGGAGTTCTGTTAAGACAGTATATAATATCAAGGCACTGGCTTACAGAGTGCTAATTTAGACATGTAATTTGAACAATCGACACAAACTTCAACAGTTTGCAACTACTGCCATTAAATGAATGAGCTCGCTAATCACTCGCCGAATCGTAAACCGCTTAGCTGCACAAGCAGTCCGCTTAAAGCCACAATTTATAGCGAGAAGAATGGAAATCACATTCCCTTTTGGCGACACAGATAATCCCTTAATTGAATATCTGGACACCATTCAGCTGGCCGCCCCAGCAGAACTTTCGGAAATTATTCCTTTAATTCGAGCCAGATGAATGGGAAGCGAAAACCATAAAGCCAATTACAACAGCCCCAGAGCGGTAGCCATGCGACTGTTTCTTGGCTACTAAAAATCAAATGTATATAAGTAAATTTCGCTCCAGTAAAGCTCGAAATTTAATTAAAACTTTGTTCCTTGCTGGCAGACCAGAGGCGGCGACGGCAAAGGGATAGATTCGCAGGACGAGCACTGAAATTCCTAATGAAGTGCCAGACGCACCTGTTGACACAGGCCAAAAACACGAACGAATAACAAACCGGGCAGATATGAAACCGAACCCGAACGAGAGTCAAACTCAACTCGAATAAAATTTAATAAAATTCAAATTTTCGAAAGCAACTCCGGCGTGGAATGAGGTGAATGAAACTATGCAAAAGTTGCGATAACAAATGAATTACAGAATTTTCGAACTCGTTTAGTTTACCTCAAAGTGTGCGGCGAATTAAAGCAAAATTTGAGCTGCGTTCGTGTTTTAAATGCGTTTAAACTCGTTTGCGTCACAGCAGTCTGGCCAGTCTGCTACTTAAACTCATATATTTTATTCCGATTTGATTTCAATTCGAGAGTCCAATGTCAGTCGATGGCAGTTCGATGACGCCTGGAAATTCGGTTCAAATGCACACCACGCCGAAACCTTGGTTGGCTCGTACTAATAGTAATAATTGCAGGCTGTCCGGCATTAACAAAGGCTCCGGTCAATTGAATTAAGTTCTCCGCATACCCGGAGTCGAGAAATCCGGGCCAGAGCTCAAAAGAAAACGTCAAAGTAATCAACGCTCAGGGGGCATTGTTAAAAAGTGAGATATCTCCACCCACAAAAGCTGTGGGAGCAGAACAAACACCAAGTACAGTGCGTTTCGCAACTGAATTCCTTGGGTTTAATTTAAGTCCCAACAGGTATTTAAGGTCAGTAATCGGTGGCTATAATTAACCCGCCTTTATTGGAATCATTTTCGGAGTAAGCCAGCCGAGCAAATTAGCTATGTAAATAGGGAAAATGAGTTAACAGCAGTATTTAGAATAATTGCGCCATAACTTCGGTCAGTTATTTTCGCAATTCAAGTAATGGATATTGCTTTCGCTTTTCCTATACAGAGTATAGGCAGCGATGTTATAGAATATCTGAATGTTTATTTATTGACGTAGTTAATTTAAATATATTCACGATATTGTGGGAAATTATCTTATTCAGCCATTTTTAGCTTGGCGATATTAATTTAAATAATAAAATAATCCGAAAGCCTTACTCCTTCGATCAATGCTGTCTGGATGCGAGTGGAAAAGCAACAATGGGGGAAAACCAACAAAGGGAGCCGAAAATAAAAGCAAAGGGCTGGAAAAGCGACCGCGACAGCTCGAATTCGATATGAAAACGAATATTAAACAATTTCGCGTAAGTCAAAGTCTCGCACAATTAACCCATATTTGGCGTGTTTGCGAATGGAAACCCAGTTCCATTACCCGCTCCCCACTTGCCATTCCCCAATCCCCAATCCCCATTCTGCATTCCCCACTCCCCATCCCTCCAGTTTCGCTACCCGCTTTCCATTCGCATGCAGTTTCTGTGGCCGCGGGGTGTTGGATTTCACACCAATTGAGGAGCTTTTGCTCCACTCGCGCTTGGCTCGGCGTTCACTCAGTCGGATGAGTGACGAAAGCAGCGCAGTGCAATCGAATGACAGACGTCGGGGATTCCCCGGGGCGAGCAGGGACACTTAGTTAGCCGGGCAGCCTGCCAGCCAGCTTCGTCCGACTGACTGGATCTAAAGTTCCCCGCTCCCAACCTCGCCATCTCCCCCCTTCCGAAACTCATCCAAAAGCCTGGCTAGCCGGCTAACTGGCAGTGCGGCCAAAAAGCCACTGCAGCTGATTGCACCACGTTGGCGACCACAGAGCCACCGTTGCCAGCGAGGAGTCCATCTGGCCCCATGAGTCCACCAGTCCACCAGTCCTGCAGTCCATCCGTCCGAAAGGCTCAGAAAGGTACTCGTTCTGTACGCACTGAATGAACTTCTGTTGCAGGAAGCATAAAGGGGAAAGGATAACGTGGCGTGGGGCAGGGGAAGGGGGAGGTAAAGGGGGAGGGGTGCGACTTTGTAGACGAATTTATACATTGTTTAAGTATCAGCCGCAGATACTTCCCCCAATCCTCCACCTTGCCGCCGCCCGCGCTGTCCACTCAGTTGTCGACACCGAAACTCCATCGTCAATGCACATCGAAGCGCAGCTAATTGAAACAGTTCGGCACAGTGGGCCCAAATAGCGAAGAAAGTATACAAACCTTAGAGGTATTTGATAATACTTAACATGAAATGAGTTAACAAATCTACTTTCATTGAAAATAACATTTTGAATGCAGTTCTTTTGAGGATTCAACCACCAACTTTTTTTAGGTACAACACTTTGGCAATAAACTCCAGAAATATAGTTCTGCAGATATTTACCTACGTTGCGGAGAGGCATTCACACACTGTTTAACCACTGTGTGCCTCGATCTGGCGGTGTTGCCGCTTTTGGTACTTCTTTTACTTTGGGCGCTTGTTTGCGTGCGGTGCACCAGACTGCCGGCAGTTGTTGCTACTGCTGCTGCTGCTGCTGTGGCAGCAACAACAACTGCACAAAAACTTTTCGGGGAACAATGGGCCGAAAAACAAAAGTATGAACCACAACAATAACAACTGCAGCTGGGGCAGGGGCAGCGGGGCAGGGGCAGAGGCAGAATCAGCACTCTTAGCAGTGCAACAACATGGCACATTGCACCGGCAGCGAACAAAGAAAACAGCGCGGGCAACAGCAAACAAAAAATCAGCGACTGCACCACTTCGTCCATTTCCATGGAACAGCTCTCTGTTCGCACCACCCGAATGCGAATCGAAAATTATATCCGAGGCCCTTTTCCCCATTTTCCTCGCCTTTTCCCGAACTCTTTTGACGAGACTCGTTCGCTTTGAATTTTATTTAATGCTTTTGTAATAAAGTGTAAAATGGTGGAAAAGTGCAAACAACGGCGCGAAGTGCAGTGGGGGAAATGGGGGGATGTGGTGCATAATATCGGCGGCATCATCATCAGCGGCCAACATCGTTAGCAGGACGAAAAGGTCCTGCAGGAGGGGCGGAATAAGTAAGAACTGCGGCCAACACCAGTGGCCACATTAAAAGAAGAAGAAATAATTAACAGCAACAGTTTGAAAGTCCATAAAATGGGAATGGTCGCTCGACCATTGGCGTCGTGTGGAGTCGGCCAGGAATCAGGAGTCACTCCACCCACCACCCACCATCCACCACCCACAATATCCACAATCCCACCCACTTCAAGCATCCAGCATCCAGCATCCGCCTCATTGGCATCGCCATTACCAGTGGTGCAGACGCCATCGCCATCGCCATCGCAACCACCACGACCGCCGCATGTGCCATACAACTTCCGACTTCCGCTGGCTTTGGCCTGTCTGAGAGTCCGGACTATAGTGCAATATATACAGATATATATGTGTATATGTATATATATGCATAGGTATCGCTGCATCGTGCCTTCCTTACGTGCCATACCCTTTTCGGGCGAGTGGCCGTGACTGTGCAATCGATTTGGCCGCATCCCCACGTAATCGCTGCCAACCCGTGACAATGCAAATAGTTTGGAGAGCAAACACGCTGTTCCAGCGATTCTGCTTATATAATTACTGCAAGCGCTGATTATATCGGATAACACATTCAATTACTTTGCACAGCACTCCGATAGCGAAACTAAAAGGTATTGTAATTGTTTTGAATGCTGCCAGTCGGATTGCCACAAAGGTCCATTTGAATGACTATCGTTTGTTGACATCTACTTTGAATTCCACATTTAATTTATTCCCAGATAAAAAGTAAATATATGACAAGAATTTACGAAGCTCTTAGAATTGGTAATTTAATGTTTACTCTTTCATCGCTTACTATAGGGTGTCTGAAGTTCGGTGAAATGCGATGGGCGACTCGGCCGATTTCATTCCTTGCCATTTGTTAATGCCGCTGTTGTTGCCTTTGCCGTTGTCACTGGGTTGACACACAAGCAGAGAGTCGGTGCGAAAAATGTTCGTTAAATCTATTAAAAGATAATTACGTGAAGACAAATGGGCGGCAGGAGCTCCGCGGGAGTCCTCGAGCATCCTTGTGCCGGGCATCCTATCCAGTGGCACTGCGCTGTCCGTATACGTGTCCGTATAACTGTCCGTTCGCGGGACACGGGACTCGGGACTGCGGGATGCGAACTCCTGACTACGGACTCTGCGGTAGCCACGTCCATACATATGTACGCTATTATTATTCGAGTTCGTTGATACGATAACGCTAATGGATATGGATATTGATTATAGTTTTTATGTCGCTTATGCATCGCTGCCGTTGTGGCTTCCCGCCGGTCGGCGTCCCCCTTCGGTTTTCCTCCTTTTCCATCTCGAATCTCGCATTTCCCATCTGCCCGGCTCCATTTCCCCGGCCACTCGAAGCCGGCGGTAATGATAATTTTGATTATATTGATGCGTCGTTTTATGAGCCGCAGTGGTATTGAAATTGAGTGGTCTGTGACAGGGTCTAGTTTATGGCGAGTGGCATAATGGCAGCCGATTCCAATTAACAGCTGCTCAAA